ATATGGGTAAATTCCTTGGTAACTTGGGAGTACAGAAAACTTTCTAATTATGACTCAAAATCCAGAAGCAATAAGAGGAGAAGTAGGTAAGTTTGATATCCTAGAATAAGAAAGTATGAAGAAACTATAAAAAAGTAAAGTGACAAACTGGGGAAAAATATTATAACTAATATAGACAAGAAATATTTTCTCATATATAGTACTAGAGGCCCAGTGCATGAAATTCGTGCATGGGGGGGTTTCCCTAAGCCCGGCCTGCACCCTCTCCAATCTGGGACCCTTTGGGGGACAACCCTGTCACAATCCAGGACTGCTGGCTCCTAACCGCTCGCCTGCCTGCCTGTCTGATGGCCCCCTAGCCACTCCCCTGTTGGCCTGATTGATGCCTAACTGCTCCCCTGTCGGCCTAATTGCCCTCAACTGCCCTCCCCTGCTGGCCCGATCGCCCCCAACTGCCCTCCCCTGCAGGCCTGGTTGTCTCCAACTGCCCTCTCCTGCCGACCCGATCTCCCCCAACTGTCCTCCCCTGCAGGCCCGATCGCCCCCAACTGCCCTCCCCTGCCACCTGATTGCTTCCAACTGCCCTCCCCTGCAGGCCTGATCGCCCCCAACTGCCCTCCCCTGCTGGCCCGATTTCCCACAATTGCCCTCCCCTGCTGGCCATCTTATGGTGACCATCTTGTGGCGGCTGTCTTGTGGTAGCTGTCTTGTGACAACCATCTTGTGGTGATGTGGGGTGGCCATCTTGTGATGACATCATGGTGGCCATCTTGTGATGGCGTCACGCAACACCACCTAGGCTTTTATTATATAGGATGTTTATGTGTGTAACTAAATTAAAAATTGGAATGAAGATGACTATCTGATAGAAAAGTTAGCAAAAGATACGAACAGACTGAAAACTGGAAAAAAACAAACCCGAACCCTGCAAATGGTTCGTAAACATATGAGAAGCTACTCAACTTATTCATAGTAAGAGAAATGCACGTTAAACCTCAGCTGGCTTTCTGTTTCTTTCCTGATTGGCAAAGGTTCACAGGTTTGATAGCACACTCTGTGGGTGATGCTATGGATAACAGGCAGTGTCTTGCGTTGCTCATGGAAGTGGAAAGTGAGACATGCCTTAGGGAGGAGAATGTGACAGTATATAATGCAGTTACCTATGAATTTAGGTAACCCGTCAATCCTGCTTTTTTGGATTTGGTCCAAAGATAACCTGGGAAGAATATAGAATAATATATGCACAGTGATTTCATGGCAGCACTATGGTTTGATAATGAAAGACTAAATAATCATATCTTGAGGTCTAGATTCCATCTGGCTAGCCTAAAGTGTGTAGCCTTCCAAACCAGTCCTGATATTCCAGCTCAGGCATTGGCAATATTTGGCTAATGTGCAGATGACTTTCACTTCCATATCGGGAATTAACAGTAGTGCTGTAGGTCAAATCTCAAAGTAGATAAAAGCCTTTTTTGGGTCCTTTTCAAGTCTGTGTCTCTGAGTGTGGTGCCGCCTTACTGTCTTTTCCTTCCTTGGTCCATTCTTGTCCACCTACCTCATCCTTCTTTCCCTAAGGGCTCTTCTGTAATATTGTTTCTTCCTCCTGAACACTGGAGAACCTGCCATGAATGCTCTGATTAAGGCAAGACCATAAGATGTTAACCTTCTCTTCTCAGATATTTAAATCAGTAACCTATTCATCTACTAGTGGTAGTATATTGGGTGATGAGGTTCTGGAAAGACAGGTTTTTGCATATTTCTTGTTTGTTTTAGATGGTGCCACTCCAAGACGACATGCTAAGTTCACTTATTTCTTCTGTTTCAGCTTCATTTCATTCCCATCCTCCCTCTCATGTTAGTGTTTGAAGTTGGGATATCTTAAAATTGATAAGAACATGAATGTAAAGTCCCACTCCTCTTGAGGGGCTGTTACTGAGTTGAAAGTGTTTTTTATAGTAAATGGCATCTTAGATCCCTGACTTTTCTCCTCCTGTTCTCCCTATGTCCAGTCACTCCGTTTGTCTCTCTGTCACTAGAACATGGCAAGCTTGGTCCTCTTTCTAGGCCTTTGCTTTTGTGGTATCTCTCAGAAAGCTCTTCTGATCTTTGCAGATTCTTTCCCATTATGTAAGTCCCAGTTCAGATTTGAACTTCTGAGGGAGACTTGTTTTGACTAGCAACACTCCCCACCCCCAGTTATTCTTTGTCCATTATCCCCTTTTATTGTGCTAATATCGTTGACTGAAATTATTAGCTTGTTTCCCTATTTTTGTTTTTTATCACACTTCCTCCTTAAGACTGTAAACTCCTAGAGGGTAGAAACTCTTGCAACAGCTCTATCCTCATAACTTAGAACATAGCCTGACACACAGTGGATCTTCATTGTGTTGTGGTTGTTGACTGACTGTTTTATGCTTGTAAGTAGAACAATGTTTTGACAATAATAAGTAAGATATATTAACACAAAACTGAGTTAAGAAGTAATTGGATAAGAAACTGTGTTTATTGGAGGAGAGACTTCTCTTTTGTGGGATAGTTACTATTCAGTTAGGTAATTTTGTGGGCATTTTGGTATATTCACAGGTTTTCTGTTGATTGTAACTACTGGGTCACCAGCATAGTATTCACTTTATTTTGAAAGTCAGCACATCCCAACATTGACAGAATTCCAGACCAAGTGGAATGATTTGCCTTATATATTGCTGAACTTCTCCTTGAGCAGCTTTTGTTGGGTTATCTGGTGGCTTTATGGTGACTGAATAGAAGAATGTACCAGGATACCAACCTGACATCTGGCACAAGTAGTTCTGCCTTTAGGTTTTTGTTAGTTTGTTTTTATTGATTTCAGAGAGGAAGAGAGAGGGAGAGAGAGATAGAAACATCAATGATGAGAGATAATCATTGATCGCCTTCCTTCTGCATGCCCCACACTGGGGATCAAGTCTGCAACCCGGGCATGTGCCCTGACCAGGAATTGAACCATGACCTCCTGGTTCATAGATCAATGCTCAACCCTGAGCCATGCTGGCCGGGCTATTTGTTTTAAATAAATCCACAGTCTTTATATTTTTGCCATGAGCTAACAGATATAATATATTGCTCATAGTTTTGCTTTGTCTTTCCAAACTCCACATTCATTTAGTACATTAATGAGTACCCACTATATACCAGGCACTGTCATAAGTGCTGGGGATATAGCTATGAGTATGATAAAGTGTTAGCTCTAAATTGTTGTTAAATAAATTGGTGACTTACTTGAAGCTCATTTCAAAAAATTAGCATGACCTCAGAGCTTTAGGAGGTTGGTATGTAGGTCTCACACATTATGCCTCTGTCATCTTTCTTCTTGAACCTACTTGTATACTCTTTAGTGTTCCATGGTTACTTGAATGTCTGTTCTGTGCCATTACTGTGTTAGGTCCTGGACATTCAGATAAAAATGTTGTCTTCAGTATTTCTTAACTAGTAATAAGTACAGGCTGGAAAAATGAATTATTTTAATACGCAATTATGAAGTGCCAGAATGCTTTATGCAGTCTACTGTGGGAGTGCAGAGAAGAGGCTTCTAAGAAACCTTTAGCTGAAACTGAAGGTGGATGGGCAGGTGAAGGGCTATCTGAGTTGCCATTCTGAAGAAAATAAAGGTATTCTAGTCACAAGGTTTAGGAATTTCAGGTGGTTTGGTGTGGCTGGAGAGACGGATGAATTTAGGGAGAAATGAATATTGAAATTGGGGAGAAATGAATATTGAAGTTGAAGATCTGGATAGGCCTTGAATGTCACCATGAAATCATTGGAAGATTTCAAAGTGCTACAGTCAGATTGATATTAGAGGAGTATCTTTCAGATGGCATTGTGGGGAATCATTTGGAGGGAACTAGAGGAGGTAGGTGAATGCCCATCATTTCCAAGTTTAAGCAGGGAAGTTGACATAATCAAATTTATGTTTTATGAGAGGCCACTCTGCTGTTGAGTGGGACATACACTGTGGTGGTGGTGCGGGGCAGGGATGAATAGGAGGAGTGAGATGAGTATAGTAATAAGAAACTTCCCTTGCCTTTTTAGCATTTCAAGAATTTTTGGATCTTTATAGAAACATTTTATCATTTTTTATAATAAAATTTTGGGCGAGAAGTTTTTGCCAAGTTACTAAAGCTTTGATGTGCTCCCCCACCCTCTCATGTAATGTTCGCACGTGGAGCCCCCTTCTAGCATGGAAGTTGTACATACAGGCATCCCTTAGTCCTCTTAGTTCTTCATGTGTTTTGACCTCAGCTTTGGTTCTTACTAAAATACCATTGAAGGTACTGCAGTTTTCAATTTTGGTTTTCTTTTCATTGTGGTAATCCTATTTTAAAGTGTAAGTCCTTTAAGGCAGCAAGGTAGTTGGAATAGCGTCAAGCTCTTGAGGCATTTGTAAATTCATGTCTATAAACACAATGGGTTTGGGTGATTTGTTGCACTGCTGGTGAGTTTATTATAGTATGTAACAATATCTAATAAATTGTTGAGAGGAATAAAAGCCTCAGTTTAAGGTTAGTCTTTAACATTTACAAGGAGGACAAATTATATTTTTAATAACTTCTCAAACTGAAGAATATTCAGTGTATGATAATACATGTGCTTGAAAAATATTACTGTGCAGTCCCAAAGGGGCAATTTTCTATTCAGAGGCAAGTTTAAGACAGTTTCACTTTAGTTTTTGGAAGTTATTAAATACTCTCAAGTATTGGAAATACAGGAAGCAAATGTTGATCCTCTTGATATTTTAAATGAAAAGATAATAGCAGAGGTTATATATTTAAAATATCTATTTCTCATTAATATTTCCACATTACAGCAGTTACCTACTGTATTGTAATTGCCTGTTTACTTGCCTTTCTTCTCTACCTCTCTCCTCTCTCCACCACCAGTTCCAGTGCTACTTAAGTAAGCACTTGGATATTTCTGACCGATTAAATGTGACACTTTTCTTTCTTTTTTTTTTTTTTTTTTAACAGAAAATGCATCAGACGCAGATTTATGGCTCCTGAATAGTTGCACTGTAAAAAACCCAGCGGAAGACCACTTTAGAAATTCAATTAAGTAAGTAGAAGTTAATTTTTTTACAAGTGAGGTAAGACTTGATTTAAGGAAATTAGCTTTTAAAAGATTGCTAATAATATCAATATTCGGTATGCATCAAAAAAGTATAAATTGGATTTTAATATATTGTTTTTGCATTTATCTGCTAAAGAAGGAAATGTTAATGTAGACTTTTCTAATAGGTCAGTAGTCGGCAAACTGAGGCTCTCGAGCCACATGAGGCTCTTTGGCCCCTTGAGTGTGGCCACGAAGTTTCAATGGCACTGTACGTGCGCGCCCGCACATAGTACTTTGTGGAAGAGCCACACTCAAGGGGCCGCAGTTTGCCGACCACTGTAATAGGTGATTTGTATATTTGCGAAGTTAGCTAATAGGTGATTGGAATATTTGTTAAGTATTAAAAATGTACTCTTCTCAGGTAATCCATTCTGTACTTCCGGAACCTACCCAGAGCAGTCCTTAGCCTCTTTTCTCTCCCATGACCATTAGCACTGTTCTAGGTGCTAGTAACGCAAGGGAAATGCAGATTGTTGGGGGAGATGAGCATGTAAGCCCTTGGTTCTTGCTTTGTCCCCTCAAGTTTAAAGTGAAAGAATATCTTCTGTTCACATGTGCTCTGAATTTTAGCCTACCCACCTTCTTAGAAATCTCATTTCATAAACTATTTCCTCATTCTCCTATCTTTTCTACCTCTGCAGTCCCATTGGTGCCTTTTCATTGACATTTAAATAATATGCTCAGGCCTGATCACCCCAAGTATCCATTTTAGCTATTGTCGGATTTTTCTTCTTGCCTTCCTAGCCAGACTTGAGATTCTTCACCTCCTAACTTCAATCTAAAACTCATACCCCTCTCTTCTCAAATTGGTTTTATTATGAAATATACATATATAAGATTTATGAAACCTATAATTTAAATAATAATAATATTGCCATTAATATGTCCACCACCCAGCATAAGCAAAATGATGTTGTCAAGACCTTAGAAATTCTCATGTGTCCCTCTTTCAGTCACACCCTAAAAAGAAAATTTTATCCTGGTTTCTGTGTGTCATTCCATTGCTTTATTAGTAAATTTATCATCTGTTAAGTATATCTCTAAACAATTGGTTGTTTAGTTTTGCCCTGTTTTAGACCTTATTTATTGGACTTAAACTTTTGATGTTCTGAGATTTGCTTCTTTTCCTAAGCAAATCCATGATTTATCCATGTTGATGGATATAAAATTTTTCTGGTTCCTTGTTGCATGAGTTTGCCACAATTTATCCATTTTATTGTTTATAGAGTTGAGGTTTTCCAGGACTTTCCTTGTATGAATGAAGACTGCTGCTATGAATATTTTGAACATGGTTTCTGATGCACATGTGCAAGACTTATTTTAGGATGTGTAACTGGGAGTTGAATTACTGGGTCATGGATATGTACATAGTCAAACTTTAATAGATAATGCCAAACTCTTCCCAAATGCATGTGTCATTCACTCCCACCACTAATGGATGCGGGTAGTTGTTTTCAATTCTTGCTGATACTTGATATGGCCAGACATCTAACTTTTGACAATCTAGTGGTGGAGATGGTATCTCAGTGTGGTTTTAATTTGCATTTCCATGGTTACTAATGATGTTGAGCATCTTTTATGTTTATTGGCCATTTGGATTTTCCTTTTTTGTGAAATGGCTTTAAAATTTTTTTCCTGTTGAATTGTCTTTTATTTATTTGTGGGAATATGTTACATGTAGACTAGATACTAATAATTACATGTTACACATGTTGCAGATATCAATTGTGGCTTATCTTTTCACTTTCTTTAGTGCTGGAGATAAATTTTGGTTTAACATTAATGTCTTTCCTTTGAGTGTATGCTATTATTGTTTAAGAACTCTTTCCTTACCCTGAAGTTAAGGTATTCTCCAGTATTTTCTTCTAAAAGTCTTATGGTTTTTACTCGTTGCACAGATTTATAATCTGTATGGAGTTGACTTTTTTGTTTGCTTATATGGTGCTAGAAAGGGGTCCAGTTTATTTTAAATTTCAAAAAAGTTTTATTATTTTTCATGTAGGATCCAAATTTTTCCAGTATCATTTATTGTTTTGTTTTTTTAAAAGATTTATCCTTTCTCCCCTTAGCTATGAACTAGTGGCCCAGTGCATGAATTCATGCACGGGTGGGGTCTGGCTGGCCTGGCCCCAATTGGGGCAGATAGGGGCTGGGCCTGTTGGGAGGAGGAGATGACGGGAGGTTGGCCGGCTGGCCGGCCTGCCCCGATTGGGGCCCAATCAGGGTTGGGCCCGATTGGGGGATGGGCCAAGGGCAAGTGGCTGGCGGGCCCTGTCCCTGATTGGGGTGGGGGGGCCGATCAGGGGCCAGTGGCCTGGGGGAGGGGTCATGGGTGGTTGGTTGCCGGCCCTGCCTCTTATCGGAGTTGGGGGGAAGATTGGGGGTTGGGCCGGCTGGGGGAGGGGCCACAGGCAGTTGGCTGGTTGGCCCCACCCCCTGTTGGGGTAGGGTGGCAATAAGGGGCGGGGCTAGCAGGGGGGGGGGCTTTGGGCCGATCAGGGTGGTGGGGACCCATTGGGGGTGGGGCCAGCCAGGGGAAGGGCTGCAGGAGGTTGGCCGGCTGGTCCCACCCCCTTTTGGGGTTGGGGGGTTATCGAGGGCAGGGCTGGCTGGGGAGAGGAGCTGTGGGCTATTGGGATGGGGCGGACCAATCTGGTGCGAGGCCGGCTTGGGGGAAGGGCTTCGGGGGGTTGGCCGGCCACCCTGCCCTTGATTGGGGTGGGAGAGGTCGATCAGGGGCAGGGCCGGCTGGGGGGAAGGGCTGCGGGGAAGTTGGCCGCTGGCCCCACCCCCGGATTCGGCTGGTTCACTGGCCACAGAGGCTATCATAGTGACCGGTCATTCTGGTTGTTATGGCGTTCCAGTCACTGGCTTTTTATATATATAGATTACCCACTCTGTCATATTGAGTGTCCATAGATGCTTGGGTCTATCTCTGGGTTTTATTTATTTTTTATTATTCTATTTCTTTATTATGATACTTATTGTACACAGCCATAATTAGTATAGATTTATATTAAGTCTTGATATTTGAGAATGTTCATGTGTTTTTGTTTTTCTTTAAGGGTGTCTTGGTTTTTCTTTGCCCTTCCATATAATTTCAAGTGATTTTGATTTTGACTACATTGAGTTCTTTTCTTTTTTTTGTTTTGTTAATCCTCACCTGAGAATATTTTTTCCACTGATTTTTTTTAGATAGAGTGGAAGGGAAGGAGGAGAGGGAGACAGATTGAAAGAGAGGAGGGATGGAGGGAGGGAGGCAAAGAGAGAGAGAAACTGATGTGAGAGAGAGACATCCATTGGATGGTTCCTACATGCACCCTGATCTTGACAGGGATCCACCTGCAGCTGAACCAGAGGCTTTTTGGTCCACAGGCTGAGACTCTCATCACTGAGCTGAGCCAGCCAGGGCATTCCTGTGAATCTTTTAGAATTTTTTCCCTAAAAGTGTACATAGGTACTGAATTGTTCCAGTATCACTAATTTAAAAAGTATTCTATTCTTTCTCCTTTTACCTGTGCAGTCCTTTTTTATCTTTATGCTATTGTAAAAGGTAAATTAAAAAAAATAATTTTCTAAATGTGCCTACTCTCTTGGTCTCAGGGGGTTATATCATGCAGCAGTGTGAAGGATGGTTGGGTATAAATGAGTCTAGATGGGGAGTCCCTAGGACAGAGTTGCAGTAGTCCAGGTACTGATGCCTCCTTCTGGTGGCCGCATTCAGAGTTGAAAGGAAGGAGTCGACTTGAGAAAGAAGAATTCTTTACACTTTTAGCATTATTGAATATGACATCTAGATTTTGACTAGAATGATATAGGGAATTCCAGAAAGGGGGTTCAGTTAGAGGGAAGACATGTTTTGGTTTTAATCATGTTGTATTTGAAGTCACAGCTAAATATTATATTAAAATAATGGATCGTCTTTTATTTTTATTGATTGTATTCTTTGTGGCAGACTACTCAAAGTGCTTTACATCAATTGGATATTATCTAGCTTAATTTTTGCAGGCTGTCACATTGTAGATTTCAATTTTATTTCTATTTGACAGATGAAGAGCCTCTCTTTCATATATGAAGTTTCTAAGACTGTTTGGTTCATAAATGGGGTTAGGTGGGATTTTAATGTAGGCAGTCTGACTAGGAGTCTGTATGTTTAGTAATTTTATTACTCTGCTTCCCAGATAAAGATGTCAGGTAAGCAGTTGTAGAATTGAGGTAGATATCACTGTAGTGATATGGATTTTATATTGTTTGCATAGAAATTGTCATAGCTGAATGTAATGGCATCCTCATGTCAGAAATTACAGAAGGAGCAGAGAAGAGTTCTTTCCAGAACTGTGGTGGGACGCAGAGGAGGTGGTCGTGATGTGGGATGGAACAGTGTAATGTGGGTCATGTTTAGGAGCAGGAGAAGGAGGAATTAAGCCAGGAGCAGAGGGTTATGTTTATCAGATGCTGCTCATTTTCAAAGAATGCTTTTGACTTTATGTTCTCAGATTATCCATTTTTCCTCCTTTAGGAAAGTAAATAAGATCTAAAGGTATTTTAGTGCTACTGATACCCCTAAGACCTCAGAGGTTTAGTTTCTGTAATTGGTACTTTTATAATCTAACTAGAGGCCCGGTGCACAAATTCGTGCACCAGTAGTGTCTCTTGTCCTGGCTTGCGGGATTGGGCCGAAACTGGCACTCTGACATCCCCCAAGGGGTCCTGATTGTGAAAGGGTGCAGGCCAGGCTGAGGGACCCCACAGGTGCACAGTCGGGGATGGGGAGGGACACGGGGGGTTGGCCAACCAGGGAGGGATTGCGGGAGGGCTCCAGGGTGTGTCTGGTTCATCTTCGCTCAGTCCCGATTGGCTGGACCCCAGCAGCAAGCCAACCTACCGGTTGGAGCATCTGCCCCCTGGTGGTAAGTGCATGTCATAGTGACTGGTCCACTGGT